GTATTTATATTTCAATAAAGTATATTCAGCACAATAAAAACTGATTGTTATGCTATAGTGAATATATTTTCAAACTATCTTTTTAGCTCTACTAAGCATGGTTTAGTACTCAGATTGTCATTTTTAAACTACCAGAACTTAATGTTAAAAGGCAGTATTTGGTTTACTTGTAGGAAATGGTACAATTGATTTTCCTGAATTTCTCACAATGATGGCAAGGAAGATGAAAGATACAGACAGTGAAGAAGAAATCAGAGAGGCCTTTAGAGTATTTGACAAAGATGGTAACGGTTTCATTAGTGCAGCTGAACTTCGTCACGTTATGACAAATCTCGGAGAGAAATTAACAGATGAAGAAGTAGATGAAATGATCAGAGAAGCAGATATTGATGGTGATGGTCAAGTAAACTATGAAGGTATGAATATTTTTCTTTTATTAGCCATAACAAAAATTAAATATGTATAATACGTTATCTAATATTTTGTTCATGAACACCAGAATCTAAATATTTTGTTTCTGTGGATTTTTAAGCAAGTGTTGATTTTAAATACTAAAACCTTCTTTGCTGCAAAAAACTTGTGTATATGAGAATGATTGCACCAATGATTGGAATGTCATACCTGTTTTAAATATATTTTTTTCTTACTGTAAAAACTTCAAGTTGTAATAAGATAATAGTAATAATCCAATTTATGTAAGGCTACTATTCCAAAAGTTTAAAAAAAAAATGAAATGTAAGTATGTTTTATATTTTGTAATAAATGCTTAGAAGTAATTCTCCCCTACACCTCCATTTCTGATGGGGTCTAATGTGCGAGTGAATTGAAAATTAGGTGCTAAAATTGTAATTTGTATTTTTTGTTTTTGCACTGTTTTTCTAAGTCTGATCTTTTACTATGAAATTTACATTTCCCTCCCCAAAGAAAGTGACAAAATAACTTACAGAAAAATAGTTTGTTATTGAGAGAAGTTTGAGATGAAGTTTATGGTAATTTTAAAACAAAAAACTGATTTTATGAAACCTTTGTTTTTAGTATTTGTAATAAGAATTTTGTATACATCATACTAATGTTGGGAAAAATTCTATACCCAAATAATATCCAGTCAGTGAGAAACTATTATCAATTTATTGCATAATATTAAAAAAATTTTATGGTATATCCATTGTTAAACCTTAAACTATTATATAACCCTCTAAAATGTAATTGATGTATAAAACAATATGATTATAACAACTTGGTTAATACATCAGCATGTTTTAAATGTGTAAGGTTTTTTTTTTTCTCTCTCGTTTCAGAATTTGTCACCATGATGACATCAAAATGAAATTAACGATTTTTGTGAACCTTGTCATTAAAACGTTGAAGTATATCTGCTGGAGTTTGCTTTCCATTTTAATTTAGGTTTAACACCCACTTCATCCTGGTGTTTTTCTTGTAAAAAATTTTGTACCATAAAAATAAAAAAAAACTATGTGATAGCTCTTCATTTTAGAACATCCTAATCCATGCTTTTTATGAACATTTCTTCATTCTCATAAAAAAAAGAAAAAAATTTAAACCTCCGAGTTGTGTTTCTGGTATTTGAGTTGATGGAACATAAAATCCTACATTCCATATCTTTGTAAACCAGCTTATTTTGGAATGTAAGTTTGCATTATTGTTCACACACACACTTATTCAAATAGACATTGGCTGTTTGGAAGTTGAAGAATATATGCATTTTCATCGCAAAGAAACGAATTACCAACAGCTGTCAATAACAATCATTTACTTCTGTACTAAGTTTTCAATGAAATGCATACCTTGTCTGGTTTTCTCTAGAAAATACTGGTTTGAACATATTTTTGAAATATTTCTATTCCTTATTATGCTAATAAAGAATACAATGTATTCATACATTCTACAAGTAGGCTTAATAGATTTACTAAGAGATCTTACTGTAAACAGAATTTGGTCGTTTCCTTTTTATTGGTGTTTTATTATATTGAAAAAAGATAAATTTTAAATAAAGTTTAACTTTTCTCCACTAAAGAATGACTTAAACTTTGTATTCAAAAAGTATGTTTTTATTGCTTGAAAAAGTTGGGAATTCATTATTATCAATAAAGATTTATTGAAAAGCTGTGTGTTAAACCCTTGTGCTTATTTAGCATTTAAACTTTTAGACAGTATTTTTATGATCGTTTTTATTCGGACCGTAATTGGTTAATCTAAACGTTTTATATATAATTACCTACGATAAAATGAAAAACAGTCGTTCAAATGTCTGATTAAATAGATTTTAAATGTAAAGGTACAAAGTACGGTCAATATCTTGGCCGACTTCCAATTATAATCCCAAGATAAAAATGAGTCGGAGAATGATAGTCTCACTTGAAAAGCATTCTGGATTAACAGCTAACCAACGTGCTAATAGCTACAGATTTTTGTAAGTGTTCATAATTATTGTTAAAATAATGACGATACGATAACGTAATTATTCAGTCTGAAATCCAAATACAACGATGACACAATGAGATAACATCGTTTTTCTGCGCTGAAATCAAGCAATTGTTTTTTTTATCTTGTATAATAGTCAGTTAAAAAACTGGCCGAGATTATTTAATTCATACTGGATATAAACCCCATAATTTTTATTGAAATGACTAGAATGTTCTGAGTTGTAACTGCTAGGTATTGGTAGGAGTGTTTTAATGAATAAATTTTAAAGACTAATTTTCACGTATAGCTGTATACACTTGAAACCTCAAATAGACAGATCTGACGAAGACAAACTTCAATTACTTCATCAACATAGTTACATTCTACCAAGGTATATGTTCAGTAAGATATAAGCCATTACTTACGTTTGAGAGAATAAAAGCACTTGTTATAACAAATATGAGTTTACACCGATTAAAAAATGCACAGCAGGGCGTGTTCAAAATTCAAGCTTCATTTACACAAGCTTATTTTTAGCGCAGCGAAGCGGACAATACCAGCTTTTTGATTAATAAAAGATCATTTAGAGTTGATCATCGGGTCTTTAGTTATGCTCCTCTGGAGGAGGGCAGTATGACCCAGTAGTTAGTGTATGAGATTGTGGTCCTGCATTCATGCTGTTAGGTATTACAATTTCAAATAGCCTAAAACTGAGTTAAATTGTAATTTAGAGTTAGTAGTAAAATAAATGCTGATATATATCCGATTTATGGTATTTGCCAACAAGATTGATACACACAATTTCTTTTTTAATACAAATATATTTTAATATACAACCAATAATACAATTTACACTAACAGTTATTACAAACCATGATTTATATACAAAAGTTTTAAAAACTTACAAACAATGTAAAGTCTTCTTTCTAGTCTGAAACTTCCTTGATATCTTCTCGAGAGTTCACGATGAGCGAGTGAATTTCGAGTTGACGTAGGTACAACTCATTTCGTAGGGAGCTAGCTAGCTCTGTGGTCTTCAACGATCACGCGCCGACTTTTTTCCACCGATGACGTTAGGTAATGTTTTCGTAAAAGTACTACTGTCCGATGTGAATTCACTGAAGATAAATGGTTTGTAAGGTTCGAAATTTATAAATGTTCCTGGTCAAATATATGAAGTGTCCCGATTAATAAGCGTTATAACAATCGCATTTGTAGCTTCCGAAGTTTATAGCAAACCGATAATAGAGAATGTTTTAGGCGCATCGCGTTGGTTATATTTATAGGTGTGTGGAGAATTTCTCGAAATTTCAGTTCCGCAACAATACAAACGCTACACTAGCGTTTACATGCACACTTATATTGTTGATTCTTAGACTCGAGAATCTTCTATGACCTTAGAGAATAGGTGGGAATTTTGCAATACAGATTTAACAGTATAAGTTATGTACATTTCTAAATATAAATTTAATTTAAACACACATCGCTATTAAAAATATATATATATATATATATAATAGTAAATCCGTCACAATTCCCAGTTATTGCATTTTGGGGCAACAAATGCGATATATGGCGCTTGGGTAGCTTTGTGTCAATGTTTGGAAACACACATTTATTTTGTTTGTTTTTTTGGCACCATTTGTTCTGCAGTCAAGATATGCTAACCATTAGGTAGTGTAGTGGGCGTTGCTAAAAACCATTGAACAAATCTATAACCCCTGCTCAGTTGTCCCGAAGTAGTCACACCCTCAGCGCCCCTAGTCTTTGTACACAATAGAGAAACGACCAGGAAACCATGTTATTAGTATAAGTGATCCCCCACCTTTAGAAACTCGCCCATTACTATAAATAACTATACACGGACGTGATCCACTGGTTATTGTACCGGGATGCAGACTCACGGGTGCAATATTGGTCTACTTGCCTCTAGGTATGAAAATGTAAACTGTTGATCGTTATGATTTTACGACTTTCCCAAAGAAGTAACATCAAAGTTTGATTCTTAGTTCTCTTCTTGAGTGTCTATAAATGCCCCCCCCCCCAGTGACACAGTGGTATGTCTGCGGACTTACAACGCTAGAATACGGGTTTAGATACTCGTGGTGGGCAGAGCGCAGATAGCCCATTGTGTAGCTTTGTGCTTAATTATAAACAACAACAACAACAGTGTCTATAAATGAATATTTTGAAAAGTTTAAGTAAACTTTAAAGGCAATTGCTTATATAACACGTATTTAATTTAACGTCTGCCAACACCAAATTTTAGTTTTTGTTAAAAAATTATGATCAGCTAATCTAACGGTGACAATTTTCTAAATGCATGATAAAAAGTATTGTCACGTCTCCGTTTGTTAATTAATTTTCCGTAACTTCGTGCCGACGAAACTTAAGCGACACAAGCCTTTACTTAAT